GTTCCCGAATGCCTCCGTTATCGTACATTTTGGCTCCCAAATGTTGAAAACCAGAAGTAAATGCTCCAGTTTTTGAACGTTTTTCGGAAGCCAAACGTCCAACACGGCTTCCACTTGAGCGCAGGAAGCTCTTGCAACCAATCGGAAGCCACACCTAGACTGTCAAACAATTCGAAAGCCGAACAGGCTTCCAGAACGGATTATGTTCGACAATCGAGGTTTGACTGTATTATTTTTATTCAGTCAGTCAGATGATCAGCCCTGTTTTAAAATTGGCCAGCTTTACCACACAATACACATGTTAACTGCTGACCACAAACCAACTAGAAGTCCTGTGATGTAACCTTTCGTGGACCAGAACCAACTACCACATCTACAATGTATATCCTCAGTTGCATATTCCCTGACAGACATAACAGGCGAAGTACACTGACACTTAAAGAACCTGTATGTAATGTGAGAGGTTCTAGTTCACAGAAATCTTATCTTAAGGTGTCACATAACTTTTAAATTACATGTCCGGATACTGCAATGAGGTATGTGTCTAGTCCCTGCTGCCCCAATGGAGAAGAATTGGGCTGCTGGTTTAAAGTGTAAAACTCATTCCCTATTTTTACAGATTCTTTAAACCCAGAATGTCATTCATCTACCATGTAAAAACAAAAGAAAAAAAGAGGGATGCCTATATAGCTTATGTTCTTACTAAGTATAACAAACAGATCACTTAATGAGATGACACTTAACCACCATGCCTTTAACATGGGCTGCATCCAAGATTTTAATTGCATAGCATTTATCGGGAGAGAAAAGTACTATGCGTTGAAAGCTAACTCACCTGGTAGTGAAACTGTCTTGTTTAGTTGACAGATTTATTTATTCATTGCATTAGCCGAGTGGCCATAGCATGATACACACCGAAACAACAACACAAAATGGGGGTGGGGAGGTAGAGGTAGACATCGTCCTGGGCGAACACCCAAAGAAAGTGAAAAAAAAAACAAAACAAAACAAAACAAAACAAAAGCTGCTGAGGCTGGAGGAGGACCGTTAAAGGGTCCTTCAGCTCCTCAGATTAGTCCTAACTCGATTGTCCTTGTACAATAAGGCTACTTGGAACTTCGTTCGGTTGTGCGGCGTATCGACTGCATCTGTGGTGTTAAGGAAGAAGTTAGTGCCGCTTTCCTCTTCATCACACTAAGCAGGAAGTTAGCTGTCATCTCAGTAATCCAACAATCAGAATCCTGCAAACAGAGGGACACTATCCAAGGCTGGATTGGGAGATGGAACTTATTCACGAGGGGAGTTAAAAACCGAGATCTTTCATCTGTCCAGTTGGGACAGAAGAGCATTACATGTTCCATAGTCTCCAGGGCCGTGTCATTACAGGAGCATGTTCTGTTTGCGATGGGAACTCTGGAATAACGACCCGACAGAACTGCTGTAGGAAAACAGTTGAGACGGGCACAGGTAAAAGCCCTTCGCTTAGTCTCCGAAGAAATTGTGAAGCAGTATAGAGGGATCCCTTCAGGGGGTGGAATAGCTAGGGCTAGGCCTGAACACGGTCCTCTTGCACAAGAAGCTGTGTTGGAGAAGTCAAGTTGCTGTAGTTTCTTTTTAATTAGGGGTAGGGCCACCGGGCTGATACACTCTAAGTTAAGAACAGTTTTACAATTCAAATTGAGAAGAGAGCGGAATTTGAGGTTAATTGTAGTTTTCCAAGGGGAATTATGAATATCTCTTAGGATCAGATTGGAAAAGCCACCTCTAATTCGAGCATCCGATGCTAATAGGTGGAGGGTGTAGGAAATGGCTCGGCTCCATGCTCGTCCAGCAATTGAAGGCTGGGCGAACTCGAGTCGTAGGGCTGCACCTGAGACGCATCTCGGGACGCCGGAAAGAGATCTCAGAAACATATGAAGTGGACGATCCAGGTTACCTGATATTGCTGTAGTCCATACTTCACATCCATATAATAATTTAGGGACGACTTTGGCATTAAATATTTGAATTGCTGCTGGAAGGTGTTTGCCGCCCTTCTGGTGGTAAAATCGGACAATGGCGTTAGAGGTCGTGGTTGCAGCGAGAAAGGCAGATTGTAGATGGGTGGTCCAGGAGAGATTATAGGTGAATATTAATCCTAGATATTTAAAGGCTTTTACCTTTTCTAAGTAGCCACCTGTGATCTTAAGCGGCTCCAACTCTGAGTTTGCGGGAACGAGTGAAGTGGAGGACTTTCGATTTTTTATAATTAATATTAAGAGCTTCCGCCTTACAATAGGCGATAAATGCGTTAACTGCATTTGCTAGATCCGCAGCTGTTCTGGATAAGATGACGGCATCATCAGCATAGAAAAGGGAAGCAACGGGGTGGCCTGCTAAGTGAGGAGGATACTTAGATGCTAGCTTCAAAGTGGAAATTGCATCATGAAGATAGAGATTAAACAGTAAAGGGGCCAAGAGGCAACCTTGTCGGACGCCTGCTGAAATGGGTAGTGGGGGTTGACTGTCGACGGCTGTGTTTAATAAAGGGAGATAATTAGGAGAAGGTGACAACCAGATGGGAATGGACCATAATCTCTGCTAGAATGAAAAAGGCCTCAGTCCATGAAAGCAATGGTGGCCGCAGTGTATTACTGCAGGTGAAGTTGACAATGGTCCATTTGGCGACTTTACCAACTGTCTAGGAATGCTCTGACTGAGGTTCTCAGCAGGCATTCCATGATAATTGGGATAGTATGTTGGCCGCTTGAAGAGGAACTATGCAGCGGATGTCTGGTAGCGTAGAGCAGTGTTCGCTCCACCAGAGGACGTCAGGTCCAACGACCAGCGGGCCTTATGATGTGAAATGCGAGGATAAGTTATAGAAGTGGGATAGAGAACGAGGTCATGATTGGAGATCTGATGGTTTGGAGGCAACTAGTTGAATAATCAACCATTCATCCGCAAATCTGGGTAGCTGATTGAATGGTCAAGGTCTAACTAGGCGCCAGAAGGAGCGGGAGTCATGCCTCTCTACAGCCGAACGAAGAGTGGACCAAGCCTCAAAGATGTACTGCTGTTTCTTGCAATGAATCATGTTTCTATATGTCTTTTTAATATCTATGAGCTTTGCACGGGTTTGGGGGTCGTTGGAAGATTTGATGATTCTGACCATTTTCCTAATTCGCCTTCTTAGGGCTTTACATTCCTTGTCAAACCAGGGCGATTCAGAGAAGAGGCGTTGGTAAGTAGGCGAGGTGGTGGTTATGTAAGTTGTTGAGAAAGCATCAAGTAATTTCCGGTATTGGTCAGCGGGCAGGATTGGATCAGAGGGAACTGCAGACATATCAAATGATTTTTGTATGTCCAGGGCAAGAGAGGAGCTGAGGCTTGTCCATTTCTTTGTTTTGTATACAGGGTGGCTTTGTACCATGGTTCTATAGTTTGAGGAGACTGGGAGTGGCTCTATTAGGTTTAACATTAGAGTCAATGGAAGGTGGTCACCACCAAAATATTCAGCCACTTCCATTTTTGTAGAAATTGAGAATAGCTCCGGCGTCAATAAAATGTAGTCGACAACACTGGTTCCCCGGGAGTGATGCACGTTAATTGCTGCGAGGACAAGGGAGTAATGTTACCATTTGCGATGCAGAGATCGTTTTCCATGGCCAGTTGGGCCATCAGCCTCCCGACGCATTTGTTATAGGATCAAGAGAGCATCTGTTTCCCCAGGGGGGCTGCAGGGGATTGTCCAGGAGTGCTGCGGGAGATATTATATCATCGTCGTTGGGACCTATTCTTGCATTAAAGTCGCCTAAGAGGATTTGAGGGAGTCCTGGGTTAGTTGTTTGGAGATCATGGAGCCAAGACGAAAGTTCAGACCACCTTTCATTGCGGTCGAAATCATTAATTGCTGGGGGCAGATATACTGTAGTTATCAACCATGGGCTTTTGGTCTTTGGGAGATGAATCTTTATGGTGAGAAAGTAAGGGGAAGATTTAATTTCCTCGCAAATAGTGAGGGGTAAGCTGGTTGAAATAAGACAGGCGAGGCCAACTTGGGGGCGACCCTGTTGGTTAGTTTACGAGCACAGGAGCTAAAGGAGCAATAATTTGGGAGAACAATACTTTGTTGGGACCAGGTCTCTTGGAGGCATACAATGTCGAAAGAAGAGATGAGATTCATTGCTTCAGGATCCATTTGCTTTGTCGCCCAGCCGTTAACATTCCAGGAGACAATTTTAAGGCTCTGGGGTAGGTTGGGTGCGTCTTTCAAGGAAACAACTGCTTTTGCTTGATTTGTGAGTGAGGGTTGAGTCTGTTCGTATCTAATGATATCGGATTTCCGCGGAGATAGGGAGCCGGCTGGTGTTTGTCTCTGGTCTAACCTTTGTCAATTATTTCCCAAGGTGCTTTTAGGGATTACTTTTTATGAGCCGGCCCATTGCTCTCCATACATGGCAAACTAGCCAAATGTTCTATAGTTTCGGCTGTTAACTGTTGAATACTGACATTAGTGGTCACCGGGCCTTTGAAGTGTGTTATCTCTTTCCGTAGGTGTTTTTCCGGAACCTGATTGTGGCCTAATTCCGCCTCATCTAGATACCTCAGCTTGTCCCAAGAGCCTGGTGAATTCACCTTCGGGATGGTTCTCTTTATTGGAGGTGGTGTAGTGTTCTCTTCAGTGTGCTGGGCTTCCTTGATTGGGAGTAAATTAATCTCAGCCATTGTCTGAAGGTAACATGGCCGACAGGCCGCTGGGTTTGGTTCTTGTGTAGGGTTCAAATTATAGGAAGTCTGGTCCTTTTTAAGGGCGTCCATATTGATTTCCTTGTTTGTATCTCTCCCAGCCAGCTTAATTCTTAGCATATCCAATCTTTCTAATATTTCAGCTTGTATTGGAGATGGAAAATGGCGAAATTGCCTAATTAAGGTATTTTCTTCCGCGGAAAAAAGATCCTCATCTTCATTCTCTTGAAGTTGCAGGTCTTGCAGGTGGGCATCTTTCCTTTTTAATTTTTGAAGCTCTCGTTTCTGGAGACCAGGCCGGGTTTTGGGAGGTTGTTTCTCCTTACTAGGGTTTGCGTGCTTGGCTTCCAGAAGGGGATTCGGTGGTGCCTTGTTTTCAAAAAATCTGAGAATTTTTATCTGGGCCTTTAAGAATATATATCTTGATCTGTAGATAAACTTGGCCAGGTTCTGGTCTCTAAATGTGATCATTGCTCTCATTGAACAACCATCATGATGCAAATAATCTACAGAAATAATGTCATATGGCTTTACTGCTCCTGGCAATATATCATTCAGAACGTTCAAGGAGCTCATTCTTCGTTCTTTCCCTGTAAGGAAGCCCTTTGATTTTGGGAAGTTTGTAAATACTAATATTGAGGGATTTAAAATCAGGTTCCAACATCTTGCCTGAATAAAGGTTTGCCCATCTTGTATAGTGTTGTCATCGCGATTGGGCATTGCATCGTCCCCATTTCCCGATTTGCTAAGCGGTTTGCTGCCTTCATTGTTAGGGACCACTTCTCCCCCAGAATCTGGCTCACTGAGTGAACTGTTACCAGAACTCTGGGACGTTGCTTCCGTCCTCCCACTTAGTTCTGAATTCTGGTTCAGAGATGCCACCTTAGCCATTAGCTTTGGCGATGGCTTCTTTTTCCCCTCCTGCCATTCTCTTTTTTATCTCGTGCAGCAGATTTATTTGAGTCCAATGGGAGTAGATTAAATAATTTCTGCCATTGTTTATGTCGGCTTATCTTTATTTTCCTTGTTGTTTTAATGTTCTTAGTTTTCTTTTCCCGGACTTTTGATCTATTTTTTTGCAATTTCTTGGTTGTTACTGCTTGTCTCATCTTCACTAGTTCATCTGGGTTATGCACAAGTTCATCTGGTTTATGCACTTGGGGTGCATCGGTTGCTGTTGTCTCTTTTGGTTGGGGAATAAAATTTTCCACAAGGGTCAGCAATAACCCATTTGTTATTGTCAAGTAATTTTTATGTTGGAAAGGTCTATATTTATATCTTGGAAATGGGCCTGAAGATGGCCATCACTCAGTTCAGTTTGAGTATATTTGGAAGTGGGCGCCTGGTCTTGGTGGCATGTTGTTAATTCTGCCAGGGGCCGCTGGTTATAGGTGACAGAAATATTTTCCACAGGTTTCTCAGCTAGAACTAGCTCTTGCGCCAGGCTTCTTGGGGAATTTGTGTTTCCAGAGTTGTGTTGAAGCTCTTTGAAGTAATGTGACCGGTCAAGGTAAGTAAGGGGAGAGGAGTGACTTCGTCAATAATTGGTTCAATTTGTTCACTCATGCATTCCTCCCTCTTGGGGAAGTAATTTATAATTTTACTTTGTCTCTTTCCAGGTCCCGGGGGGCTAAGTGGCGTATCTGGCAAGATACCCAACTCCTTACACAACTTTCTAGTGAGGACCATGTTGGATAGTTGTCTTCCTATTAGAAAACCAGTTGTCCCCCAGTGTTTCTGCCTAATTAGCAGGGCCAATGGATGAGTAGGGATGAATCTGCAGCTTTCTCCTGCTTAGCTCATCAGCGAGCGCTGGCTCTCAGTATGTTTCCCTGGTGGAGCCCGAGCCCTCTCCTTTCCAGTGACGGGGAGTCCCTTCACGGCAGGGGAGTCAGCCAGACCTCTTCCCTTCCCCACTCACTCGTCTCAGAAGATTACTCAGCTCCTCAGCACCAAATGCACAGCGGGGGGTGCGGCAAGGCAGCAAGGCTGAAGCACGAAGCAGGTAATAAAACAATAAAGCAATAAAAGCCCGGAGGGGTTAAAAGAAACTACTTAGAACTACTTGAAGCTTAGTCTAAAAACAATAAAACAATAAAAACCCAGAGGGGGGTTAAAATAACTACTTAAAACTACTTAAAACTTAATCTAAAGGCAGACGAGGTTCAAACTTCATTTGGTTCTTGTTTAATTGTTCTTACTATCAGAGGTAGCAGGAAATCACTTCATAACAGCCACCTCCCAGCATCCGCCATTTTCTCTCCCAGTATGTCTTGTTTAGTTTTTAAAATAGGGCTTTGCAGTAAATTAAAAGGCCAGCAGGCAAGTTCTTTAAATGCCTGGTTCAGAGTTAAGAGTTTAACATTTCTCATGTTTAAATGTGTGCAACTCTCAAGCTCTCAGGAGCACATATTTGTTGTCACCCAGCAACTGGGCACTGAGAATGTCTAAAGTAGTTTCCTCAATTCTAAAAATTGATTTCAGAGGATAAGATGGGTGAGAAATGGAGATGAACCTATTTTACTGGGGCTTTTATTTTGTGTAATAAAGCTATACATTTGATAGCACTGAAGTAAGAGCTCCCACATAAACAGGAGGATTCAAACTGAAGCACCTGTGAAATACACAATACACTATTACATGTTAAGTGTATGTGAACTATTAATACAGCTTTTAAAAACTGATGAACTTGAAGTCGTCCCCCTGCCAACATATCCTTAAATACAACACAAGAACTGTTTAGTCAGCTTTGCTCCTAGGGGAATAATTGCACATTAGTGGACATGGAATGCAAACAATTTAGGGACTGTTTTGAAAACTGTTTTAACAACCAAATTTCCAGATCACCTTTATATCATAAAATACACGGTCCTTATCACAAGTTTCCAGCACTTACATCTGCTAATATGAAAAGCTTAACCTACTTACAGAAATAACAAGTTACAATGTGGATTTTTATTCATACTTCATATTACAGAAAGTATTTGAGAAAGGTTTGGGGTACAGAATTTTGGATACTGCTCTGAATTTGGTAAAGGTTTTATTCTTTCTCCGACTCAAACTTTGGCTAAGTAGGAGATATGGGCTTCAAAGTAAGTTAAAAAAAAACTTTATTATGCCACCATTTCAAAGCATATTACACAGGTTTTGTTCTTCAAAATACCTTGGAAACTGTAAAAAAAAACAAAAACTGAATGAAGAACTTTGGACAATAGAAACCCTTCTGCAAAGTTCAGACTAAAACACATGCAGAAGACATACTGTTCTCAAAACATAACTTTGAACAAAGCACAAACTACACAAATATGCAGAATGAAACAGCATTTTAAAACTTCACCAAAAGTAGTCTCCATAAAAGGTGTAAAAGTCACCTATTCACTAGGCACTATTAGACTTGAACAAAAGTAACAAAGTATTGTCCACAAGATTGCAATCTCAATGCACTGTCTGTAGCTACAAAGTTCTTTGTTTCACACTTCAATAGCGACCTGCAAGAGATTGAGAGCTCCATTAGAAACCTGGGTGGGTTCCATTTCTGTATACTAAGTCTACATACACTGTTAATTCAAAAGCTGGCTACTTGGGGGCAGCAAGGGAAAAAAAACAGTTCAATGTGGCAGATCACGAGTACTTCCCCATGTAAATTAAATGGCTTGGATCCAGACTTGCTCTTCGGGGAGTGGCAAGGTTCTTTCTCTTCAGGGAAGGGTGTCTGATATGGTGGTTCCTACTGGTGGGAGATGAGGGGATTTCCACCAATTCCCACACATCATCCATGCCACCTTCCATTTTGTTCAGTTCAATCCTCCAAGGCTATGGGTTTTTTTTTTGGGGGGGGGACTTCAGGAGGAATTGACAAGTGTTGCCTCCTCCCTTATGTAGCACTCTGTTTGCAGAATACTACTCAAAGAATCCAAGCTTACATATTTATTTTTTAAAAAAAATATGGACGCATTAGCTAAGTTTAGAAAAACTTAACTGCACTGAATTTCAGCTAGGTGTTTTTCCTAAATAATCTCTGGACTTCAAAATATTAATATATTTAACTTGTGACTTACGAGGTGAATACGATCGAGACCGGGAGCGAGATCTGTAGCCCCCCCTGCTGTAATAGGGAGATGGAGATCTTCGCCTGCAGAGAATATATCAATGATGATGGTTTAAGTTTTACTTACACTACAGATGTTCATACACAACTTGTTCTAGTTTTGTCACCCGTACCCTTTGTATTTCATGCACACTAAGCATACCAACTAGATATAAGATCATGAACTTTTCTGTGTTATACATTTGTTTCACAGTCCAACATTTACACAAGAAAAAACTGCATTAAAGAAGTTAGAAACTAGTATATTCCAGTGCTCCCTTCCTAGTAAGAAATCTGCTTGTTCTTATGTCAAATATTAAAGCCATTGCAAATGCAGTTGGGATATTCAGATCATCCTTAATTAGCATGCCAATGAGACATACTGGTGAATGAACATGGAAACATTAAGACTGATCTATGCAATAGGTTTTTTTTTTTGCAAAAGCATCTCCATATGAGATAATTGTTTATATAATTAATTTTATAGTATAATAGAGCATATCAAGATGGGATACATGTCTAGGTAGGCACAGAAATGTCTTAAGAGACTTGCTCTTGGAGTAAATTTTGTGATTAAAGTTAAGTCACTGTCATTTTTGAAGTTAATTTAAATCAGACAATCTGTGTAATGGGGTGTGCTACTACTATGGACCAGAAAAAAATATATTCATAATGAATACAAGATCAATCTCCATCTTTATCTGAAGTTAATTTTGACTTCTGGACTCAAATGTTCTGTGGCAAACTTTCCCACTGAAGTCTTCCCAATGATTATACTTCCTCACTGATAATTCCTTAGTACAAACAATACTTTTCTAAATGTAAATCTTGACTACATTGAATGCTTATAAAAGGTGGGTGTTTCCAGAAGCTGTGCTGCTTAACAAATATTAACTTCCTCACCATCAACCTGCTTTATTGGTTTTGGAGGTACCATATCCCCAGGTTTTCTAAACATTACCCAAGCAGGTCATTTCAGCAATGTTTGTGTATTTTTTTTTAAATAAAAAGGCATAAAATCCTTTTGTAGCATACCTGTACATCTGATCCCTGTCTTGGGCACCTCGCCACCCTCCTCCTCCTCCACCACCACCTCCTCCGCCACCACCTCCTCCTCTGCAAAGACAAAAGCAGAACCATTTTTTGCACTTTTATTTACTGAATTTCACAAATGATATATGGGATTATTGGTCAAGTCACGTCTTACATGAAATACTTAAACATGCCAAACAGACTCAAGTGTCACATCAGTACTCCACATCAGTATTACAGCTGCAGTAAATTTATCATTTCTTGGTACAATACTGGAGTACCAGTATGATGGAGAAATGTATTCACCAGTGCTTTTAAGCCCATATTTGGATATGGATGTCAATAGGATTTTGAAAGCAACAAGGACCGAAATAGACTGACATCGCTGGAACTCACAATTACAGATCAGAATAAAACATCATACTTTAAAGCAAGGATGGGAAACATGTGACCCTCCAGATGTTGCTGGAATCTGATTCCCATTGTCCTTGACCATGGGCATGATGGCTGGGACTGACAGGAGTTGAGATCCATCATCACTGGAAGGGGGCAGCTTTCCCATCCCTGTTCTAAAGGATTCATACAATCTTATTAAGTAATAATCGGCAAAAAGTAGACTTACCTATATGATCTGCTATAATAGTCACGGTCATCATAGCCTCCTCTCTCAAAACCTCTGTCATAGTAATCTCTCCGTCGGGAACTTCCACTGTAAGGAAACACACCATATATAGGTATACAACACAGGAAGTAAATACTGGGTGAAACATCTAGTAGGAAAGCAGAGGAGAGTGCATGCAAAGCATTTTTCACTGGTGTGCCAAATGCCATCTGGTCCCCTTCATCCATCTATTTCCAGATGCTCTGTATGAGACAGGGGGAGAAAGAGACCCTGCTTTGACAGGAATCCACGCTGGCTGCACCATAGCACGTTTAGACACCACACCACCCAAGTGCCCACCAAGAGCCTCTTGTTTTAGTTTTAGGGATTTTTTGGCTGGTTGGGAATCTTGCTTTTTTAACTGTGGCTTATTTCAATTTGTGGTAGGGTGTAGGTGTTTTGCTTTGGGGGGTTTCTAAGCACCACTAGTTTTTTTCCTGTGAAATGGGTATTTTATGATGCCCATGACAGTCCAAATGTGCCAATGGCCCAAGATGACTGGGGACCCCTGCTTAGATTATAAGTCTCAGGGGCAGGGACTATTGTTTTTAAACTTTTGTAAAGAAGCTTGCAAGTGTTAAGAGACAACAAGAAGTTAACATGCCTTCCGAATTTCTGGAAGCTATACAACTAGTCTAAATCCTGCTCTTTAGTGAAGAAATCCAGATTCATATTTTAACTGCCCAGATTTTAAATTCCCACATGCTAATACATAGCACAAATAAAATACAGGTGATACTCTTATATTAATTTGAAATCCGGGTTTTCAATATGAAAAATAAAGTTAACTCTGATTATTTCTAGATTAAATATAGTTACAACAACTTACTAAGTAGGTCTCCCCATGTATATTCCAGGAGTAGGTGTGTGAGGCCTTTTTGTTATTGAGAAATCAACTCTGATCCTTCTTCCATCAAGTTCCATTCCATTAGCACGTTCTTTTGCCTATAGGAGTTGAATTTTTTTAAAATTGTAGAATAAAGTTGTTCTGAATCCAATTTAATTCACATCAAAAACAAGTTAGGAACAAACTTACTTGCATGGCTGGAAAGGTATTTTACCAGGTACAAGTCTTTACTGCACTAGGAAAAATTAGTCATGCTCATTTCTATTTTGAAACTATTCTAAATACATACCACACTGCACTGCAGTTTTAGTTATGACCAGAGTTGGTTACATAAAATAGATGCACTGTTCACAGAAGCAGGGACCTTGTTGTTTCCTAGTCACTGCTCACATACATTTTAAAAGAGATGAGCAGCAAATGGGACATACATGCACTCTGGGCACAGGATGTCACTACACATGTATAGTATGCCTACCTACATGCATGCCATGCATATATAATGAGTGAAATTTCTGTTTACTGTTTCAGATAATTTGGAAGAGGACAAATCACAACCTAAACAGCAGGTAAACTCCATTTATATGAACTTTTGAAATGCCCATGATTTCGGTACAATGGTTTTCCACCTTTGCTCATGCAAGGAATGTAAACTGGTAAAGCTGAGGTTCCACCAAGCAGCCCACGGAGCAGAACTATGTGGAATGCAGAATATTGCATCTGGAAATCTCAACTCTTTTCTTACCAAAACTGCATTAGTAAGAACACTTATGCAGAAAACCCCCACGAAATCACAAACCAGCCTACTCTGATTTTCATGAGTATATGAAGTTTTTCTGGTGTATACAGGGGAAGGTCTGAAGAGTAGTGACTGGGACTGTGAGCTGAAATGCCTCCTGTTCAAATCTTATTTGTGTCATATATACATATATACAACAATCAAGCAATGAGAACTGGCCTTTTTGTGGGGTTGCTTTAAGGATTACTACTAAGAATGAATGTTCATGAAGAGATCTGAACATCTGAAATGTGTTACATAAATCCTAAGGACAAAAATCTATATAAATGAAGGACACCCAAGAAGACAACCCAAGAACAGCATTCCATCTGGCCTGTAGGAAGAGAAGCCCTGATATACAGTGACCATTTCTAGGCAAGGTGCTATTTCACTTGGGTTTATCACGGCCCTGTTAATAATAGCAGCAGTAGTACCAGAGAGTTTGAAAGGAACCACCAAGCAACTAGTTAATTTTTTGAACAACCTTCCTTGTGGAGGGTTCCCTCAGCCTCCTCTCTTCTCCCCTCTACTTGGGAGTCCCTCTGAGCAGCTGCAGCTGCTGCCCTTGGGTCTCTGAGCTGACCCCCCCCACCCCAAAGAGAGGTGCCTCCTCACACTGCCCCAGAGGGGCCTGGGAACCACCCCCTGGCCAGCCCCAGAGGCACTATTCAGCTGGGGAGCTTGTGGCCAGAGCTGCTGCAACAAACAGCTGTGCAAGCCTTTGGGAAGCAGAGACACGAGAGGAAAGGAGGGAAGGCAAGAGGCCAGTGCTGCCCACAAAACCCCTGACCATCATTCAAGGCACCCCAGGGTGCCACGGCACACTGGTTGAAAACCAATGTCTTAGCCTAACCAGGGTTGTAGCGATGATAAAATACGAAGGAAAACACGTATGCTGTCCTAAGCTGTTAGAAGGGAGGACAGGATACAAATTAAAATAAGACATAATGCAAAGAGGCACATGGCTTGCGTGACCATAAAAACATGAGCTATCAACTCAAAACTGTATAGTTACAGCAACTAATTAGGATCCACCCTTGTTCAGGAAATGCATGGTTTGCAAAAGTAGGTACCTTAAATCACTTTCTTGATTCAAAACTTACTGACATTGGGAAATGTTAAACACTTTATTAGCATGGGCTTTAGAAAAGTATGAAATATTTTAGAGGAAAGACACTCACTTACCTCCTTAGCATCATCAACACTTTCAAAGTACACAAAGGCAAATCCTCTAGAACGTCGGGACTGCTGGTCATATACAATAGAAACATCAGCAATTGGGCCATATTTGGAGAATACCTCTCTCAGGTCCCTTTCTGTTGTGTACAAGCTTAATCCAAACACACCAAGACAACAGTTTGGGTCGGGATTTGCCTGTTTTTTTTAAAAAAGAAGGAGTTTTCATAAGAATTCAAGATGTTCCCCAAAATTGTTTAAATGCTTTGGGATACAATATAAAAATGTTATTCCAGTAAATTCAGAAAGCTCTAACAGGTCTAAGGGCTACCCTGCTGGGTAGGATTCCAGTGTCCCTTCATTTTCTTTTCTCATGAGAGAAGAGAAGGTAGAAAAAAGGAAATCAAAATGTTGTAAAGTTCCAGGCAGTCTTATACAGTGGTACCTCGGTTTTCAAACACCTCCGTAGTCGAACGTTTCAGAACTCAAACACCGAAAATCTGGAAGTAAATGCCTCAGTTTTCGAACATGCCGCAAGAGGAAACGCAGCTTCTGTTTTGAGTTTTCTGTATTGAGGCTTCCGCTTTTCGAACGTTTTGGAACTTGAACTGTCTTCTGGAATGGATTACGTTTGAAAACCAAGGTACCACTGTACTTCATATCTGGCTGATGCACTCAAAGTCTCATTCATATACAGGTTCACTTAGAGAGCATTAACAAAAACCGGGGGGGGGGGGGGGAGCTATGATTTCTCATGTATGACAACCCTTTAGCCTCTGTACAGTGTCTTCCATGGCTTTCTGGTTTTGGTCAAGGAGCATTTCTGGGTTTAATATCTTATTTCCCTAAAATAATGTAAATCTCTCATTACATGTAGCCGTGTTGGTCTCCCATTGTCGAAACCAAATAAAAAAATTCCTTCCAGTAGCACCTTAGAGACCAACTAAGTTTGTTACTGGTATGACCTATCGTGCGCATGCACACTTCTTCAGATACACTGAAACAGAAGTCACCTTATATATAGTGAGAGGGTGGGGAGAGGTATTACTCAGAAGGGTGGTGGGAATGGGTGATTGGCTGATAGGTGTGCTAAACCTGTTGAAGACTGTTAATGACTGCAATTGGTCTTACAGGAAAAAGCAAGGGGTGAAAATGGAAATAGAAGTTGCTGAATTGCAACTTATTACCAAACTTAAAACCGTGAAGAGATCTGGTCTGAATAGAGACATTGGATTCTTATCTCATTATACATGAGAAAGCTATTTTTAGCCATCTCACCCCTTGCTTTTTCCTGTAAGACCAATTGCAGTCGTTAACAGTTTTTCTAGAACAGTTAATCCATTTAGAAAAAGTTGCTATGAAAAGAATCCAATTAACATCTTCTAATTGCACTCTGGGGCTTCTAAGACCATCCTCCCCAAGGCAATCTTTCGTGTCCCCCGAGCAGCTGCTGGAGAATGTCAGGGGACTGAAGTTTACTCTAATGTGTAAATTTCAAGAGCTCTCTCAAAGGAGGCACTTTCTGCTACCTCTAAAGAAAGCACTGCAAAATGCAATACAACACATTGGAACTGATTATGTAACCATTATTTTACCTGCACTGAATTATAAATATCAACCCAGCCATTACGTCATAACTAACTAATCTAGACAAAACACACCATTCTTAGGGGGAAGTGCCAAATCCTGCACACTTACACAAAATAAATTAGAATAAAGCTTAGCTTAAAGGTTTCTCAAGCAGTAGAATAATAATCTTAAATATACAAGTTCAGGTTTAACCATGCACAAATATTAGTACAAATGCCGTCTACGCCCACAGTAAAATCCACCAAACATTTTAAATACCATTTGTGAGACATATTATAAATCAACTTAAAACTTTTACATGATTTCTGGGTAATTTGAAAACTTTAGAACCTCCAAAGACACACACAGCTGAATTATCTCTGGTCAACTGCTGCCATCCCAGCCTTACTCTGTTGCCAACATGACGCCGCCGAGTAGACATAGGAGAATGGCTGTGACTGTGTCGGCGACGATAGTCGCGGCTGTAAGATCTGCTTCTTGACCTCCTATGGGATCGAGAACGTGAACGTGACCTCGTATAATGTCTGCGAGAACTCCTCCTTGATCTGGATCTGTAAATAGGAAGACTAAGATTATGCTGAACTACAGGTGTCAAAGATGAAACTTGCATAGCATACAGAAGTTTCTATGTCTACTGTATTTTTAGTCTTAATAACTGCCAGTCTGGGGTACAAATAATCAATGCGGCCTGCACTAAACATCTGACAGTCAATGGTAAGAAGGGATTTTAATAATCAGAACACTAAAACCCAAACCCTGTCCTTTGTTGTGACCATCAAGTTTCTGATGAAGGTGAGATGTGGAACAGAGCCTGTGCTGAAGACCTTAATGCACAGGCAGTGAAGTTTAGAGTAAAAATGCAGAGCTATAGACGCCTATCAGATTATTTAAATCAAAATGTCGGTATGCACATTAAGTCTCAGCCTGTTTGATTTCCGCCATGCAGTGACTGTACCAAGCCCTGCTTTCATTATATACAGATTCTCAGTGTTTTACAGTAGCCAAACCAAAATTTCCTGAGAGAATATCTATCTGAGCAAATTCCATTAGAATAGATATACAAAGCTTAACTGAAAGTTTGCAAGCGAATAGAAACAGGTTTCTAAAAGTGCTTCATCTGGGAGTCAGAAATACTTTTTTGAAATACTGGTTATTCAACTAATGCCAGGGAAAGATTCCACATTAAGAAGTATCAATACAAGAATATGACACTTAGTAGATACCCAATGTAGTCTTAAATAGCAGGGTAAGAGAATGGCTAATAGGCTCGGCCAATGCCATGCCCCTACAATACAGCCATATGCTTGCTGAGACTATTGCTGAAAGAGGCCGCTTTCCACAGAAAGCTTTACAACAACTCCTTGCTGCAATGGCGTCCTCAGGCTAGACAAGGCTACAACCTAATAATCTAGTCTATAATTGCACCACACACAAATCCACATCAACTTAGTCGTCTCCAAAACTTCTTTTCTTATAGATAAAAAACAGCAAGGTTTTTAGACACACCAACCTCTTCCTCCAGACAGGCTTACCGAGATTCAGATCTTGATCTAGACTTTGACCTAGATCGCCTTGAACCTTCCTTGGACCTAGATCTGGCAGGTGAGTGTCTTGGAGACTTGCCGGAACCGTGAGCGCTTCCGCTTCTGGAAGCGGAACGGGACTCCTGCGTGTAGAAAAAAAAATAGTTTAGTTTAATTTGAATGCTACTTCTCCAGTACTTTATTCTAAACAAGCTCTGGTAAAAGGTATGAAAAACATTAATGATCTGTGTCTCCATTATGTGTCCGGGCAGTTGCCATTAGAACTGCCTAGATTTATAGGTATTTTGCACCTGTTAAGCACTTATTTTTTTAAAACCTGCATGTTTTTTCTATTAAACAAATAATGCATGCATGTTTAGCAAAATATACAGGGACACATAAACAGACTAGTAATTACTTAGCGTAGTGCTTTCAGATTCCAGATTACTTCTTATCTTAACTTCATTTTTATTTCTTTTCTTCATTCTTCCGTTTCAAATTCTGACTTCTTTCATCTTCCCCACTTCACACAAATTGCTCAATATTCTATAAGTGGGACTTCTGGTCTGATAATTAGCATGCATTCACTTTCTTTTTTTTCAAATTTCAGCTTCACTTATTCCTGAGCTTCAAATAATTCTCATTTATAAAACTTGTCAAATGGCGACTTCCGCATTTTCCTTCTTCAACATTAACCTTAATAAAAAAAGAACAGGATGAAGAATATTTAAAACTCCAGGATAGATATCTAGTGCCAAGACTGAAACTAGAAAAAATGCTATGTGTTTGCACTATTTTAACTAGATATGCAGTTCTAGTATGACTTTCTTTTTCAAATGATGGCAATTCAATGAAAAATGATTGACCAGCTATGAATTTGCTAATTATTCCTACTTCAAAATTAACGTGTAACTGAAATGAGATCTTAGACTGCAACACCAAAACTCCATGAACTCCATGTGCCATTCCTCACATAAACATTAAGAAATTAGTCGTTATGTCTCAAACTCAATTTACATACCTCTGCTCAAGTTTGGTGTTATTCTTTTTAAAAGCATATAGAACTATTGAAAAGCCATACCAACCAGGTTTCAAAAAAAAATTTAAGACACTTCATTCATTAACAAGCCTATATTTGCAAGTTATAGTAAGTAGACTGTACCCTAACCTCTACAACAATGAAGAAATGGAGAATTCTATCTTGTTACAATGACAACTCTAGTTTATGCTAATGTTTTATTAACCTTTGAACTTTGCACAACTGAAAACACTTCTGCACTTACTAGAATGTTTCTGTGCTCACAGATTCTATTTCTTAAGGAATTCTGAGAGCTTCCATGTTAACAGTAGGGATGAACTGTCTTAGTAGTAAAAGGATACTATCCAATCAAGTAGTTCTATTAGCTGAATGACTCCTGGTTGCTAACTGAACTTCCCCTGCCTCTCCTTTCCCACCTCCAGATCTGTTCTAAGTCCCCACCTCCACCATATGAAGCAGATTTGGGAAGAGCGTAGGTTGGTGGTGGTGTGAGTAGAAAGAAGCTCTGTTGCACAAATTGAAATCCTTGGGCTAATGAAGCTACTTAATTGGATACCGCTTAAATATTATTTTCTTTCTACATATGACAATGGCCCCCAAATCCTAAAACATATGGATTGATATAGTAGTAAGTTTTTACTGACAAAACCACCGATGAACAACATACTAGATGCACATGTACCATCAAAGGAAGTCTAAGGAAAATTAAAACAATGCATTATCATAATATGCAATTAGATGGTGTATTTTAAACAAGCTCTAAACCAATTCTTAAAATAGAGTAAACTATAAGAACACATTATAGACTTCCTCTGAAACGAAATGTGTTGGGATGGGGACAGACCACAACCTTGTCCTCAGGTAACTATTTTCATGACATAGGCTGGACACTTAAGCAAGTAATTTTGCTTAATGTTCTTCAATGTATATGGACACAAGAAAACAGAAATCCTCAAGTTTCACATTGCTGTCCTAATGAAATCTACACTCTGTGCAATAGCTATTGGATTGTTTGAGTAGAGATTGTTACCATCATGCAGAATATGCAGTCTCAAAATTTTAATTAGTAGAAATGCTTGTTCAGAAAATATAAAAGCTGAATACTTGATTTGAAATCATATTGATTAAAGCAATCTATGCTCTTCTATTTGAAATTTCCCACTGTTGGGAAATCTATTCAGCTACAAATTGGCTACTCAAATAAAGAATCTGAGTTCACTACAGAAAGTATAATGGGTTAATAAGCAACTAACATTCCCTAGATCTAGAAGTCAAGCATCATGACCTTTGGAGGTTTCTAGCCAGTGACATTATTATGGGAACAACTCCAAAGAAAAGGAAAGAAGATTTTAAATTAAGTGATTCCTACAGCTCTAAACAGTATGATTTAAACAAAAAAGCAAAACATATAAAATGAAATATAATAATTTATTTGTATCCCACCCATCTGACTGGGTTGACACAGCACTCCAACAGAATGTAAAAATCCAGACAACAAAATACTACCAGCCACCCACTATAACAACACTATTATCGTTAATACAATTTCCTTTTAAAATACTATGCACATATTCTCCTGTTCAAACACCACTGAAAATTGTTAGGGTAGCACAGGAATACCAAGATATGCCGTAGCAAGAAAATGGTTCCTAGATGCAGCATTTCTGCAAGATGGGAGCTATTTCCCCACTGCATAGATTTGTATTTTGCAAGAATGGACGTGGAATGCCAACTTGCTCTATTCCCTACATCGCTCTCATGATTTAAGTGAGCCCACAGAACTACCCTTTCTGATTGGAAAAGTTAACGGGCAAATCCCTCAATTTCTTTTCTTTTCTAGTCCTCTTGCCTGGAGAACATAGGCTGAACTAGTTTTATGGCAGAATGGCACATAAGGCATATTCTGGAAAACATCAACTTACATGTCAAAGCACACACTACTTAGTTGACATTCAGTTTATGCATAAATATTTCTTATGTCAGCAATCGTCTTATTAAATTGCAAGCTCTTCCTTATCCTTATCCTTCATCAGGTAATGGCTCAATCACCCAATTCTTAGCCAAACCTTTCTTCCTGTAATTCTTGAAAGGTGAACTGAACCTATGATTCCTCCACAACACCCCCCCCATTCATACAGATAAAGGCATCAACTTCAAAGCATTAATCACTCAGGCAGATGTGCAACTTCTTGCACAACATTCCTGTTGTGCCATCTCAAGTTACTCAATCTTGTGTATTTACTCCAGTCTACAAATCCAATCCAGTGGCTAAATCATTTACTGTATCCTTCACCATATGAACAACTCCTATACAGTCACACCTTGGTTGTCGAACGCCTTGGTACTCATCCGTTTTGGCTCCTGAACACAGCAAACCTGGAAGTGAGTGTTCTGGTTTGCAAACATTCTTTGGAAACCAAACGTCCGACGTGGCTTCCAATTGAGTGCAGGAAGCTCCTGCAGCAATCAGAAGCTGCGCCATGGTTTTTGAACATTTTCGGAAGTCGAACGGATTCCGTTCAACAACCAAGGTACAACTGTACTTCCATTCTTACTTCCCATGTTCCTGCTGCCACTTACACACTCCCTTCCCACAGTAATCTCTAGCCTGAGGTGATGGTAACTGAATTACCAGCAGTCAGGTAAAAGTGCAGTTCTTCCTTTTCTGCTACTCCAGAGTAGAAACTGCCACACAGTGAAGTCTTGGTCATGACCAGGGATAGTCAACCTAAGGCCCATGGGCTGGATGCAGCCCAATCGCCTTCTCAATCCGGCCCACGGACGGTCCGGGAATCAGCGTGTTTTTACATTAGAATGTGTGCTTTTATTTAAAATGCATCTCTGGGTTCTTTGTGGGGCATAGGAATTCGTTCATTTCCCACCCCAAAATATAGTCCGGCCCACCGCATGGTCTGAGGGATGGTGGACTGGCCTACAGCTGGAAAAGGTTGCTGACCCCTGGTCATGATGGTTCCTAGGCCTTTAACTAGCAAATGCAGCATGTGAAGTTGTTTGCCTCTGCTATAGACTCGGTTTTAGAAACAATGTATTCAGATCTAGAACCATTCAAATTTCCAGGAAAGTAACAACATTTTAACAATAAGTGATATTGCTACCATGTGGCCCAAATTGAAATATCAACACTAAGCAGCAGCAACAATTGACTTGTTTCAAACTAAATGTTCTTTAGAATGTGCCTCTTCTGTGAAGCTCATTCTCTTTCTGATGTAATCATACCCACAATGCTCTGAATGTAATCTTTACTTTCCAAGTTCCCCAGTCACTGTATTTCTTTTGAATAAAAAGCAAAAATCTATTTACACTCATTTTTGCCCTATGTTTCAATCATTTGAAAGATTCAGTCTAACCAAGGAAAATAATGGTCTGCACATCTGCTCTGGTGACCATACATTAGGCTGATCACGTGGGACACCCTTACTTTCTCCCTCCCAGAATGGCCAAATGTTCTTTAAGATTATAATCATGGTTTGTTTTTGTTTTTTACATCAGAGCTTGCTGGGGTTGATGCAAATGCACAGTGCCATGCTAAAAGAAAAGCTTGCACATTTGAAATATTTACTTGTGCCAATGTTAAACAGAGAAGGCTGGCACACTAATTTACAGTTAACCAACAATCATGGCATGTGGTATTTGATACTACAGGGCTGAATGGCAGCTATAATGAATTAACCAAGTGACAATTCACAGCCTTGTCCCACCCAACACCTGCATTATTCAAGTCTCTCAAAACCAAAACAACATAGATACAAAGCCAACTAGACTTTACATTCAGTATTAGATGGGGTCCAATCTAAACTGTACTGTTGTTTAAGGACAATTAATCAGCAGGAAAAAGATGTGCGTGCTACTGCAAGCCAGTTCCAGCTCCTGTGCCTATGGCCAAGTGATCAGTTGTAATTTGTAATGTTTGCCACATGCACACACAAAGTTTTTGTTGTTGATGTATCCCTAAAAATGTAACATGGAAACAGTACCACTCCTTGAGCAATACTCTTCTTTTCTTGCTGACCTCACCATCTCCATCTCAGCATGGGAGGTGTTAGAGGGAATTTATAGCTCACACAAGCAGTAAGTGCATCAGAAATGGGAAGCAAACAAACTAGAAAGGTTTCCTCTCCTTAAGTCATTCCTTCCTAGCTCTGTTGTTTTTGTGCATACATGAACATGCATACTGGTATACATGTGACTTCCAGGCACTCACCCATCCAGGCACTGGCCAGACCCCAACCTGCAAGGTGGGAGCCTCATATGCCTTCCACCCATACTCTAGTCTTGAGAATTACATAGAATCTCTTTATGATCAGAGCTAACAAATTATCATAACTTTACCTTCAGCAATTTACCAGCTGACTAGCTCCCACCTGAAAGAGTCTCAATCAATTCATGCAATGCCCAATAACACGACTAAATTGCACACTCCCTTACTGTTAGCAGCTGTTTGTGCAAGATTAATATGGCAAAAGAGTCTAGACATTTGAACTGGAAGTATACTTGGCCATTTTACTTCTTTCATAGCATTTGTGGGTTCAGTTCCTCCCCCCTCCATCACTTGCTCATTCCCTCTGAGCAATGCAGCTTTCAACAGAAGCCAACTCACAAAACAATCCAATCCACCAAGCCTGAGGAGGTGTGGATGGAGCAGTGGTATCCCTCTCTACCCAGTACTGCCTGTGGGAGAACATCACAGCAAAGGATGTCCTACTGCATCTGCCCAAAGGTGGTAATCAGAACAGTCCTCAAAGGTAATCAGCACAAGGTAATCCTCCTTCCTCAAAAAAAGTTGCGTGTTTTGGAGCCAAGCATCACAGAATCCACTGGATGATGTGATTGCAGCAGACCTGACTTGGGCCCATTTGCTGTGATACTGGAAGTTGGCATAACAAAGAGGCAACCGCACCTTCTTTCTGCTTGAATGGTGAAGCTGTGGCTCCCACCACGGAAGCCAGGGGTCTAAAATGCCTCCTTGGTCTACAGTCAAGAGAACCTGTAAAGTTGGTCTGTATAAGCTACAGACATCACTATATCATACATTATCACTTGCTACACACACTCAAAGTATTTTGTTACATAAGCTTTTATGCCTCTGCATGAAATTCAGCAATATCATTCCAAGACTGGGCTCTTTATTGCTGCTTATAACACATATAACCTAAAGAGCACAGTGCAACTTGAAATGCAGATTCCAGCACTCTGACCAATTAGCTCAATGAAACCCAATGCTTCACTTATTCTGAATCTAAAGTTCCCTTTCAAAAAAGTACCTTCCCTTAAGCATTTAGGGTACCCAAGTTAGCCTGTTGAAGAAGAAAAGTTCTTTTGCACTTTATTATGGCATAAGGTTTTGTGGACTTCACTCCATGAAAGCTCAAACCGCAAAAAAATGTTTTCATTCGTTAAGATACCCTAAGGTTTTGGCCTGTTTATTTTAAATAAAGTACACTGGAAGCTATTCGATAGCCAGAAATTTGTTCCAAGTGAAATGCTGAGTGCGACCCTTAAGCTCAACGTAGAAGCGTCACGGGAACGATCCCCTTGCCATCCAGGCCAATCGAGACTGGAGCAGCTTTCCTCCGAGTCCCAAGCACGTTAGCAAGGCTGCGGAAAGGGCCGGACACGGCGTCTCTTTCCCGCGTTAGCCTCTTTCTGGGTTGAAGCATCGCGGGGGCCAGAGCCTTGCCATTTTCTCTCCCTCTCTAGAGGGAGCCGCAGCCGAGGCGACGAAGGCGCTCCTCGCATCCCCGCTCCTCTTAAGTCCTGCGCGGCCATTTTGTCCCCGCGGCGGCGCGCTCATTCGGGTCACCAGCCCCAAGATGGCGCCGGGAGCGGGGCTCGCCGCGGAGCGCTACGTCACAGCGCAACCGCTTCGCAGGAAACGACGGACCATTTTCTCGCGCCAAACCGACACGCAGCGCGGCAAAGTGGCGGGGGGGGGGGCGGAAGAGCGAGAAGCAGCGGGTGCCGCTAAGCCGCTTCCCGCCTCCTCATCCCCCGCCCCGCGTGCACCTTCATCTCAAAGGCGGTTTTTTTCGCGCCCGGCCCGGGGGAGGGGGGGAGGGGGAGGAACGAACTAAAAACAAGGCCCGGCTCCGTCTCTCCACCAAGCGGGCCGCTTATGCTGCGCTCGCAGGCTCTGCGTATTACCCGCTCGCCGTAGTTCTGCTCCCCGCTGTCGCTCATCCTCCCGCCTCGCAGCGCTGGACGCCGACCGCGGTTGCTACAGCCAAACCGTCCGTTCGCGAGCCTTCTCCGCAGAGGAAGTGACGACGCCACAGAAGCCCCGCCTCCGCGCGCGAGCGAGCGCCCGCCGCCTCGCTCCTCCTCTCTCGCTCGGAGCTTCCGGCGCTCGAAGGAAGGCGGGGGAGAAGCGACCCTGCGCTGCGATATTTGGTGGCGCTCGGCATTAGTGACAGGCTCGCTAAGGTGGTCGCCCTCCAGAGTAACTGCGGCCAGTTCAGCACCCGCGCGCGTGTCGTCTGTGTTTTACGCGTGGAGGGATTGGAGGTCGTCTCCCCGGTGTTTTACTTTGCAGTCACCGTTGTTTTGAGTTTCAGTGCCATTTTGTAAAGATCCTTGTTAAACTCGTGGCCTTGGTCTTTGCTATTGTGAACACTCTTGATCGCCACCCCAGTCTTGAGAGTTGCGGGATACCAGGGGTTCGGTCTCCTTGTCTTATAAGAATTTCAAGGTCTCAAATATAGAATAAATACTCATAAATGCACACATATCTAAATATATGAACCATGTGTTTGAAATAGTATGGGAGAGCAATCCTGAAGCCATTTTGACTCTCCCAATGATCTCAAATATTCCTCTGCAGTAAGGGAGGCAAATGGGGAAAGCCTTCCCCTTGTCTTTTTGCTTGCAAATCCTGTCTTAAGGGCGTATATGTATATGAATAGGGTGAGCCTGCGACCTGGATTCAGGACCCAAGAGTACAAAACATCACAAAAGAATGGCCAGACTACCCAGGTAATGCAATCAGTGACCATTGTTAGGTATCCTGGCAGGCAAGATTTCTGCTGTGGATCACCTCCTTCTGTGATGTACGTGTGATGTTTTTGGGGGTGGTCCTGGACTACAGGGTAGGCAACAGTTCCTTTAATAAAGATCAGGCTTATTAGCTGTGATAGGAATTTTATGGTCTTAGATATATGGTAATGTTCATAACCGCACATACATGGATCAGCACAGGAAGGCCAACCTGGAACCATTTTGATTCCTAAACTGAGCAAATGTTTTCTCTGCAAGGTCAAACTGGAAAAGCCTCCCCATTGTCTTTTCTTTCACAAATCCTGTCTTAAGAGTATGTCTCTGTTTGAATAGGGTGTGAGCCTGTGACATGGCCAGGAACTATTTATCACTACAAAAGAATGGCCAGGCTACCAAGGAAATCCAATCAAGTAACCTGCCAGACAGGAGATAAACAAGGACAAGAGAAAAACAACATTTAAATTTCTGTGATGTAGGTGGGATGTATCTGAGGGGTGGTCTTAGGTTACACCCCTTCTGTGATGTATGCATAATGTTTCTGGGGGTGGTCTTGATCTAGAGGATGGGAATTTCAAAAGTCTTTATAAGCCCTTGCACAGCATTTTTGTGGGTCCTCCGCCTTTCCTGCGAGTGAGGGGAGCACCCTGTTGCAACAGATCAATAAAGATCAAGCTTACTAGCTGCTTTGCTTCTCAATACAGTGGTGCCCCGCAAGACGAATGCCTCGCAAGACGGAAAAACCGCTAGACGAAAGGGTTTTCCGTTTTGAAGTTGCTTCGCAGGACGAATTCCCCTATGGGCTTGCTTCGCAAGACGAAAATACCTTGCGAGTCCTGAGATTTTTTTTTTTCGCTTTTCCCCCCATTTATCTAATCTGCTAAGCCTTTAATAGCCTTTAATAGCCTTTTAGCAGCTAATCCCCTAAGCCTTTAAGCCTTTAATAGCCGCTAAACAGCTGATAGCGCTAATAGCGCTAATCCGTCAATGGGCTTGCTTCGCAAGACGAAAAAACCGCTAGACGAAGACTCTTGCGGAACGGATTAATTTCGTCTTGCGAGGCACCACTGTATTCTCTGGTTGGCCTCTGTTATTTTCTCCTACCAATAGGGAACCTATGTAAGGACTCTATATGGGCTCTTGGATACCCCATAAGGGAAAAGGGCATATTTTTATTTACAACAGATGGCGACCACGCTCAAAGAGACTTGGTTACCTGGATTCTGGGAGCGAGGAAGGACTGGTTATCCAGCGCGCACCAGGCAGTTTGCCAGGAGGAATAACCAGTCCTCCATCGATCCCAGGGTCTGGAAATAACTGGAGGTTCAGCGGGGTTAACCAGAGGAAGCAACGCTTCATCAGGCCGGCCTTAAACAACCAGTCAAGAGATCGCAGGATCACCAGGAACAGAGCATGCGGAAGTGAGTATAAGTAGGAAGCATAATGTGCAGTCAGCCCATATTTCCAAAGATAGAATAATATACACATCAGCATTGTATGGCACAGTCTCCCCCAACCTAGTGCCCTCCAGAAATTTTGGACAACTCCCGTCAGCTTATCCATCTAAGACAGGTAGGCAGTCTTTTTTCAGCTGCAGTCCCATTTTACTCTTCCTACCACACTACTCCCCCTTTCTCTCTCCCACTCTGCCCAGCAAGTTACTGGCGAGGGGATAGATTGTCCTTGCAAGAGGTCTGAACTTGCAGATGATTTTTTAAATTAGGCTGAGGCTTACAGGCTGTACACACCTAATCTAAGAGATGGCACACAGAGGCCTTAAGAACATCTTGTCCTCTCCTTGAGTGCTTTTGCCTGGTTGGGATGTTCCCTTAAATGCCATTGTGCCTTTTGCGTAACTGGATAGAGTAGGTGGTGGTGTAGAAATTTCTGGAATGGAGCCCACTGTACAAAGTAAGAATCACATTCATCACTCTGTTCCCCCTTTTAACTCCCCACTCCCTGGCATGTGTTACCTGGGATGTTGACACAAAGGGGCGCAGCCATTGAAAAATATCCTACCCCCTGGATTTATGGGGTGCTATTCCCTGGCCATACATCTTTTGAGTCATAAACAAGCAGTTGAACTGCTGAGGGCTGGAGAGGTTATGATGATTCCTCAACTGCTGCCATTGGCTGGGGACTGCTTGTGATGTCACAAAAGCACATGGGAGCTGAGTAGCTATATAAAGGTGGGCCAACAGAAAATCCAAGGCAAAAGCTCCCTGCCCCCCGAAGACAACATAGTGGGCAACAGCTATGGCATTCAGCGTTGGGCAGTCTACTTCCAGTTGGAGACAAAATGGCAAATGGATGGCTGCGATCATCCAACTGCGGAGCAATGAGAAAGCAAGTTTGCTTGCTGAGTGGGACTGCAGCTTAAAGGCAGCTGATAATCCACAGTTGGAAGTTTACTGACGTCTGGCAGTGGACCTGGTAGAAGCTGGTAGATGTTGGTGAGTAGACACTGGCAAAGTTTGCATTTGAAAGCCAGTGGATGCCGCAGGGCTGAAGCAGGCTGATGTTTGTGTGTGTAAGCTGGCTGAAATTCACCATTGGAAGCCCGTTGACAGCAGCTGTGTGGATAATTTAACCAGTCTCTGACCCAAGCCACTGTTCCACCCTGTCTGAAATCCGCTACCATTATACCCCTGCCAAAAACATCAAAGATAGACAGTCTGAATGATTTTTGCCCTGTGGCGTTGACACCCATTATAATGAAATGTTTCGAAAAACTGGTGAGGAAGCGCATCTTATCTTGTCTGCCAGTGGGACTTGACCCTTACCAGTTTGCATACAAGGCAAAGAGATCCACAGAGGATGCTGTGGCAATGGCTTTACATGCTGTCCTGACTCATTTGGAGAAGCAAGGGAACTATATGAGACTGTTATTTGTAGACTTTAGTTCTGCATTTAATACTATTCTTCCGCATAGATTGGTGCCCAAATGATTAGACCTGGGACTTCCACCATGTTTGTGCAGGTGGATATTAGATTTTCTATCAAACCGTTCCCAAAGGGTCAGGTTGGGTTCCCACGTCTCTGCGGATCTCATCACGAATACGGGGACGCCGCAGGGGTGCGTGTTGAGCCCGCTTTTATATACGCTCTATACAGCTGACTGTGCCCCCAAATACCCCAGTAATAAGATCATTAAGTTCGCAGATGATACAACGGTGGTTGGTTTAATTACGGCTGGAGAGGGGGAGGCGGCCTATAGGAAGGAAGTTGAGCAGTTGGGGGAGTGGTGCAGGAAAAACAATTTACTCCTTAACTTAAAGAAAACAAAAGAGATCATTGTGGACTTTAGGAAATGTAAATTGAATATCCAGCCACTTATTATTGAGGGGAAGTGCGTGGAACAGGTCTTGGTGTTTTGATTTCTGGGAATGGAGTTGAGAGACGACCTAACCTGGGGAGAGAACAGCAAAGACCTGGTGAAGAGAGCACAGCAGAGGTTATATTTTTTGAGAATCCTCCGGAAAAACAATCTCTCAAACGACCTGTTGATGGCATTTTACCACTGCACTGTGGAGAGCAGTGGTCTGTGTGTATGGTTTGGGAGCTGCACGGCCAGGGAAAAAACAATGCTATCCAGGGTTGTAAAGACTGCAGAGAGAATAATTGGGTGCACTCTTCCCACCTTAGATCAAATCTATGCTGCCAGGTGCCATAAGAAAGCGGCAGAGATAGCACAGGATAGTACGCACCCCGGAAATGATCTCTTTCAGCTTCTGCCTTCTGGAAGAAGGTATAGAGTTATAAAGGCCAGGACTAGCCGCCTGAGAAACAGTTTCTAATCAAATGCAATTCTGGTTCTAAACGCAGCATAAGGGGTTTCTACAGTATAGTGTATTTTAAAATAGGGTTTTAGAGTTTTTAGGGGTTTTTGAATGTTTTATGTAGTTTTGTAGTAGTTTTATGTAGTTTTTATGTAGTTTTGTGGTAGTTTTATGTAGTTTTTATGCAGTTTTGCAATTTCATTGTCCTGCATGGGACAATGACAATAAAGATATATCGTATCGTATTTGTGGATTGAAGCTCAGTGTGTATGTGAATGACTGGTGAGTAAACGTGTGTGTGAATGGGAGGTTCTGAATGTGGTCAAGGTAAATGGTGCTTTTTAGGAGTGGCGTAGGTTGCCCTCCCTATAAGACCTTATTGGGAATTATGCATTTTGTGTGTGGGGGGGGTTTGTCCTCCAGGTGCACAGAGAATGGATGAACCAGTGAATATTCATGGGGAAAGCTAGTGGAAGTTGGCAGGCTGACATCAGGGATGAAGTTGCCAGGCAGGAGCCAGTGAAGGTGCCTGGGTGATGCTGTCAGATGGAAGCTATCCTCCTCGCAGTTCCTGTGTTTGCCATTCAGGGATGTCAGAAGCCTGTGCAGTTTTCCCTACCTGTGAGAGTAACGAAGAGAATGGCAAGGCTGAAGCAAGCCACCTTCTATTTCTAAATAAATGTCTTTCTAAATACATTTAAGTAAGTAGTGTTCATTTCCAGTATGGATAATGGGAGGCTGTGCAGATGCTTCCACAGCTGTTGCCATCGGCTCCCGACTCCTGCTGAAGTCACAGGTAAGTATAATTGTTTATACTGAAATGGAGAATGCCTTTGTGTATTACTGAAGGCTTTAACATGGGGTTTTTCCATGGGGCTATATTGAAGTAAAAGAATAGGACGAGTTCCTAAGTGTTGTTTTGTAGTAGCTAACACTTGGGGAATTTGCAATTCAATAGCCTTCCTGCTTGGAAGGGTGATGGCTGAGTCTTTTTTTCTCAGGCTCTGTGGGAGTAAGGATGTAAATGAAGCTCTCCAGCAGGACACAGCCTCAGGCTAATGGAGGCTGTAAGGAGATACACACCTTTGATTTCACATCTGTTTGGAAATACAGTATCTTTTACAGTTGTACCTTGGTTTTCAAACAGAATGTGTTCCAGAAGTCCGTTCAACTTCCGAAACGTTCAGAAACCAAGGCGCGGCTTCCGATTGGCTGCAGGAGCCTCCTGCAACCAATAGGAAGCCGCAGAAGCCGCGCTGGACGTTCAGCTTCTGAGGCAAAGTTTGCAAACCTACTTCCGGGTTTGCGACATTCGAGTTCCAAGTTGTTCGTGAACTAAGCTGTTCGAAAACCAAGGTACAACTGTATTTCTAAGAAAATGAACTTGTGCTGGACTTGCACAAGACAGTGTGTAGAATGATTTGGATGCATCTGATGTTTTTGTTCTGTTTTGAATAAAGTTCTGCAAGTATAGTTTTGAATTGAACAAATGGGTCAGACAAATTTTATTCCAAAAGGAGTCAGTTTTTATGCTTCCAGTTGCTTCAAGCTATGCAATATTAATATCGGCAATAGTCACAAATGGACATGGTGGCTGAGGAGGAAGAGGCAGTTACTAGTGGAAGGAAATGGAGGGTGCAGCCTTGGTTCTCAAATGCCTTGGTTCCTAAACACCTCAAAACTGGAAGTAAGTTCTGGGTCTTTCCACGTCATGTCAACGCGGTCATGTCACCCACTGTCTCAGATTTTGATGAAACTTGGTGTACACCCTTTCCTTATGGTTGAAAGAAACCCCATTAATTTTCCCCCCTCTATCTCAAGCGGTTTAGCTATCGGGAAGTGACTCCATTGAATTTTCACAATGGATTTCCACAGATCGAACACACTTGATCAAAACCACTTCAACACTAGATGAGTTCATTGATAACCTAATAGACAAAATAGAACATTTGATTCCTCAAATGATTCTTGTACTTTGCATCCTGTGGTAGTGGATTATAAAAGTCCTGACGGAGAGAATATGATCTCGTCCCATTGCATTGTTTCTGATGATTTAAAGCATGATGTGAATATGGTATACAAAACTCAAGAAATAGTTTTGAAATATATAAAAGATAATTTTCCTCACATCAAACAGATACACTACTTTAGTGATGGCTGTGCAGCACGGTACAAAAATAAGTTCAGCTTCCTAAATCTCTGTCACCATCAGGAAGATTTCCAAATAAATGCACAGTGGTCTTTCTTTGCCACTAGTCTTGGCAATTCAGAATGCGACGATATTGGTGGAACTACAAAACGTCTAGCTAGAAAAGAGAGTCTTCAGATACCCCTTGACAAGCAGAGTACTATTCCAAAAACATTTTTGGATTTCTGTGACAAAAAAATGGAAAAGGTCAAATTCCATTATATTGCAAGGGAAGACATAGACATAATCCGCTCTTCCCTCGAAACTTGTTTCAGAGACATGCGGACAGTTCCTGGAACTCACAGTTTCCACAACTTTAAACCACTCAATTCTACAGGCACAACTGAAGCAAGAAGAATGAGCATTGATAAAGAACCCTCCCTCTTAACCTGAGGAGGTTCCCCAAACTTCCTGTGAATGCTGATGATCTGTATCCTGGATGTTCTATCGCTTGTAAGTATGATCATTTGTGGTACTTTGGAATGATATCGGAGATTAATCAATACGAGGGAGATGCTTTTGTAAAATTTCTTCACCCAAAACGACCTTCACCTTCATTCTGCTGGCCTAGCCATGACAATTCTTAAGCATTACCATTTCATCATATGCTTGGTATTGTACAACCCCCACAGACAATCACTGGCAGAAGATACTTCTTTCCCGACAAGTGTATGGCGTTGGTGGAAGAAAAAATGGAAAACTACAGGTGATACTGAGGCTGCAGCAAAGAAACTGAGGAGCATTGAACTTGTAAGGTAATCAACTGTGATAACAGCACAATCTGTTATGGAAATTTTGTACTTTAATTTTGTACTTTAGTTTAATTGTTGTCCTTATTGTTATTAATGTATCTGCTGTCATAAAACTGCCTCATTGTGAATTATGCCTCAATGTATTTAACATAAATGTTAAAAAGTCTCCATGCATCCGTTATTTCAAGATGGCACGCAAAAATCATTCTTTTTTCTTTCTTCTGTAAGACAGACATGTCTATGTATGCAACAATATCCTGAAAAACAAATTGGGGATCATATAATGTTGCATAATTGAATATAATGCATAATTTTAAATTCTTTTAATCTTTTTCTTGCTAGGTCTTATTACCTTACTTGCCAGCATTTAAAGTTTCTGACCATTTTTTTAAAAATTGATTTCCCGATTGCCAATTTTCATAACTTCAAATTCAAATACTCTCAAATTAAAACAAGTGTGTACTTTCGTGGAAAAAACTTATAATAACCAATATCATGTTAATTTTTATGATGAAGAAATTTGTTTCATTATTTTTTTCTATTACAGCTATGGATTGTAGGAAAGTTATACCCAGTAGCCATTTTTTCCCCACGATGCCAAAAAAACGTAAAATTTTCATTAGAAGGAATAAAAAAACCATAAATTTTATTCTTTGTCCAGAAAGAGCATTTCTTTGCAATAATTTTCAACATCAAAAACTTTGGGTTCCATCATACTCATATGCTGAAAATTGAGGTTTTCCACCACAAAAAGTACATTTACCGGTATATATATATTTTAAGGCATATATAAAATCTTTTGAGTGCTGTTGTATTTTTTCCTGAAATCCTCATCCTCTTATTGAGCTCTGTGTAAAATTTCAGAGATCTGATCAATGGTTATGGAGAAAAAAATAAAATGTACATGTGCCGAGGGTCTCAAAAGGGACAGGTAAGAAAAAATAATAATTTTAATTTTTATCATCTACAATACTGTCTTACTTATAGTACAGGTACATTGATTATTGCTTTCATTTTATGGATCAATGGTCTTGTTAAATAGTAAAATTCATGTTAAACCACTGTTTTAGGGGTTGTTTTTAAAAGTCTGGAACGGATTAATCCGTTTTGCATTACTTTCTGTGGAAAAGTGTGCCTTGGTTTTGGAACGCTTTGGTTTTGGAACGGACTTCTGAAATGGATTAAGTTTGAGAACCAAGGTACCACTGTAGAAGGAGGAGGCAATTCAGGGGAATCTGGGGAAGGGCAGGCCAGTGGGAAACACAGAAGGGAAATCTGACCTAGCTCCCTTCTGTCTACTTGAGTCACCAACATTCTGTTCTCTCAGGGCTCCTGTACCAGTCTCAGCTACACAGAGCTAACAAAAGCAAGGGATTCTGCCTCCAGTGAGCAGACTAAAGTCTTACATCCACCCCTCACCACTGTTCTAAGAAGCAAGAACTTCCAGGGATGCACTCCAGTCCTGGGTTTGGCTTCCTTTGGAAGGTAGCTGCTTGGACGCTTATTGAAATTTCCTAATAATTGTTCTTCTTTAAAAAGATACACATTGAGTGCACACTGCAGTTCTGCGTCTTGTTTCTTTTCAGAGATCTAGCTTGCTCTCTCTCTCTTCTGAGGAGGGATAATATACAGTGGTACCTCGGGTTACATATGCTTCAGGTTACAGACTCCGCTAACCCAGAAGTAGTACTTCAGGTTAAGAACTTTGCTTCAGGATGAGAACAGAAATCGTGCTCCGGCAGTGCGGCAGCAGCAGGAGGCCCCATTAGCTAAAGTGGTGCTTCAGGTTAAGAACAGTTTCACGTTAATAATGGATTTCCGGAATTAATTAAGTACTTAACCGAAGGTACCACTGTAATAATCTTATATCCTGCCCTTATACAGAGCACAGCGTGGCAACAGAATCTAAAAAACCACCACGTTAAAACCAAAATCTGAAATACTCAGTGCTTAAAACAATCAGAAATATAGCTATGTCAATACAGGAAAATGTCCTCTGACCATCACCTGGCCTTCTTGGGCCATCTTAGTTCCCAGGGAGGCAATCACTTGAATATTATGAGTTATTAAAGGTATTTGGTCAAGGCTGAGCTGCTGGCTAGGTCTTACTTCAGAGCAACCCCTATCAAAAGCCTGTAAAAGATGGAAGATGGCCCATTATGATGATATACTGTATTTTAGTCATCACACAACCTGGTGGGGCTTGCTGTTTTACTGGTTGTTGATGTTGTGAATAATATATTTTGGTGTTTTATTTTAGGTGTTGCATACCCTGCTTTGAGATTGTTTATAAAACATTTGTTATCACTCTTCATTGTTAAGTACTGTACTGTAAAATAAAAAAATAAAATTTGCCTTAAGGGAAAGTAACTATTTCACTTGGACACCAGAGGGCAATATTTGCCAATATTTCTCTCTGCCCCAGAAGTGAACTTTTTGTTGTTCCCTTGAGGATTCTTCAGATATGCATATCGTGAGGGGCATATTTCTAACGATTTCTGGTATTGTTCACGAAGTCATTGTCTTCTTCTTCTTCTTCTTCTTCTTCTTCTTCTTCTTCTTCTTCTTCTGGTTACGTTTAAGTAAGTCACTGAAAATGACTAAACACATTCTTTGGATCAAATGTAAAGTTCCATGTCTGTTAACAACCTTCACATGCACACACAGTTGGCAAAGAAGTAGGGTTGTCAACTGATTAAATAATTTTAGTTAGCTTGGAGGGCTGCATTTGGCTCCTGAGCTTGAGGTTGCCCACCCCTGCACACACATTCCCTGCAAGGCAGCAATCTGCGCTATGTGGCCAGCAATGGGAATTCCATAATGCTCTTCAGATCCTTTCAGTATAAAAACTGTGCCTCATCACATCCTTGAGACTTTTGCAAGGCCCAATCCTGTGCAAACACCACAGTATCTCATTACCATGTAATGTAGTAACGGGGAACCAGGCTGAATGCAACCCTTGAAGCCCCTTGGTCTGACCCTTGGACCTCTCTCCATAGTACAACACCTCTCCCAAGGCCACACACCTGACTGGTGCTGCTTGCCTGGAATGTGTCCTTGAAACTCTTCAGTGTTTATGCCAAACTTGAGTCTCCAGCCATTTTTGGACTACAGTTTCCATGATCCCTGATCACTTATCCTGCTATCTAAAGATGATGGGAGTTGTAGTCCAAAAACAGCTGGAGACCCAAGTTTGGGAAACACTGGTCTAGATGGGATGTGGGAACATCTGGAGAAACTACTCTACTGCAGAAAGGTATAATTTACACTTACTTTTGCCTCTGGCTGTCAGTTTGCATTTCTTAGTGCAGAAAGTATTGATCTGATGGGTTGAGATCTTTCCTATTCTGATTAATTCAAGAGGGTTCTGGAAGCTTCTCTGTGTGAAAGAAACAAGCAGAAGGTTCATGGTGTTTGGGTTATTCCTTCAGAGAAGCATGAGTACAGTTGGCTTAAACTGGTTCTCTTATTTGTTCTGTCAAGGTCATGCTTACTATAAAAATAAGGCCAGAAGGGTTTCACTTTCTCTTTATATCTCTCTTCCTTCTAGTGTGGTGCTCTATATATAGTGTTAAGGTTTAGACTTATTATAAGTTATTGTAAGCTTAAGTTAGGGACGCGGGTGGTGCTGTGGGTTAAGCCACAGAGCCTAGGGCTTGCCAATCAGAAGGTCGGCGTTTCAAATCCCCCCGACAGGGTGAGCTCCTGTTGCTTGGTCCCTGCTCCTGCCAACCTAGCAGTTCGAAAGCACGTCCAAGTGCAAGTAGATAAATAGGTACCGCTCCGACGGGAAGGTAAACGGTGTTTACGTGCGCTGCTCTGGTTTCGCCAGAAGCGGCTTAGTCATGCTGGCCACATGACCCGGAAGCTGTATGCCGGCTCCCTCGGCCAATAAAGCGAGATGAGCGCCGCAAGCCCAGAGTCGGTCACAACTGGACCTAATGGTCAGGGGTCCCTTTACCTTTATCTTTAAGCTTAAGTTAAGTCTGCTGCCACTGGATTTCTTATGGGCAGTGCCAATCCTGAATGCATTGGATTTGTGACCGTGATGCTCATTTGCCTTCAGTAGCGGTAAATCTCTGCTGGATGAAATATTAATTGCCTCTGGTCTATTTTTTGGGAATCCTGCAACGTATTTAAGTTTTTACTCTGCTCACTATATGCTGGAATCTGCTCTGGATCAATATCGTGTAGAACTTCAATGATACTGGCTCCACTCATCTCACTGTATGTGGCCCTTTGAAGGTTGCCCAGAAAGGAATGTGGCTCTCAGGCTGAAAATCCCAACCTCGATACATTGACTAGGAAGATAGCTGCAGCACAGAGAATAGTCAGTGCTTGGTCCACCCCTCATTTAAAAACAGAGTTAGGACTCAATTATACAGCTGCAAATATAACATTTTGAATGTGTTGTAAAGTGCAACATACAATTGTGACGCTAGATGGTGACTGTGAGCTATAGCAAATTCAATGCATTTTTCAAAACTATTTTTAAAAAAGCAATTTCACAATGTTTTTAACATGTGTAGATTCCACCTTGGATGAATATTCCCGAAAGCACAAAAGTAATGAGTTTTAAAAAAATTAAAATATTGCAACATTCGATAGGAGGTATAGCCAGATGTTTGTCACTTTTTCTTTTTCTCACATAGACATGAATGAGCGCCTCAGAATATGGGTTATGTTATTCAGAATAGCAACAGACCTGCACAGCTACAAAATAATAATATGCAAATAAATTTCAAAGAAGACTTTACAGAATGGCATGGGCATTTGTTGTTTAGTCATTTAGTTGTGTCCAACTCTTCGTGACCCCCATGGACCAGAGCATGCCAGGCACTGGCACAGGAATAATTATAATGTTCATCAGTAATAAAACTCACACAACTACATTCCACATTGTCTGCCCCACCCCATGGATGCCAAATCTGGGAGAGGGCAGAATTGTATTTTCCCAAGTAACCCCCCTCCATACACCTTGCAGTCAATGCTCAGGTAATGCATCCTCAAGGAGACAGACATGAATGATGTCCAATGAACAATAAAAATGCATTGTCTTCAGTCTAATAGGAGAGCAAAACACGCACACAATCCCTCCTGTGCACTTTTCATGCACAGTTCCCCCCATTGCATCAGGTAGCTGTGTGGAAAGGCAGTTCTAAATCTTTCACAGGCAAAAGTTGTACTTCCCTGTAACCATGAGGGAAAAATACCGTAATAAAGAACTGCTGTCTTGATGGGCTTGTTATGGGATTAGCTGTACAAAGCACTCTAAAAATTGCTGTCATCTCTGCTTGAGTGATATATTTCCTCATGCTAAAGAATTGCTCATGAACTGTTACTAGAATTTGTGAATATCAAACCAAGTATCATTAGAAATAAAATTAATGAGCACGCCAGAGAAAGGTTTAACAACACAGGATATAATTACTCATGAGACCAGAAGAAAATTAGCCTTGAAAGGAACATTGTGTTTCCAGTTATTCCAGTAGATTAAGTAACCAAGACTGTTTCACACTCGTGAGACAGCCCCATCAAGGTGCTTGCTGGCATGTCAAAAAATTGTAAGCAGCTATGCAATTACATGCTCTGAACTTTGACTTTTTGGACTCATGGACGCTTTCCACAGCACTGCTATGACTTTACCCCCACTCTCCCAAGTGAGATTAGAGGAAACCAACAGTCTCCTGTAATTTTCAGGCCAAACATGGCCCATAAGAACAACCCCCTCAGCTGATGCCCAGCAGCCACTACAGTAGACAAGGAGAGCCCATAGCTGTGTAAAAATGTATACAGTGGTACCTCGGGTTAAGTACTTAATTCGTTCCGGAGGTCCGTTCTTAACCTGAAACTGTTCTTAACCTGAAGCACCACTTTAGCTAATGGGGCCTCCCGCTGCCGCTGTACCGCCGCCACGCGATTTCTGTTCTCATCCTGAAGAAAAGTTCTTAACCTGAGGTACTCTTTCTGGGTTAGCAGAGTCTGTAACCTGAAGCATCTGTAACCCAAGGTACCACTGTACAGTCACAGTGATCTATTTCTATCTACCTATCTACACACATACACTGAAGAGTAGCAATACATAGCATAATATCCAATTTATTATTCTCAGCATAACTGCAATCCTATGCATTGTAAACTCCATTAGGCTGACTTGATAGGGCAGAGGTGCCAGGTTGACCCCAAGACTGAGGGAGGCCTGGTGCGCGTTGTGTGTGTGTGACGTCACACACATCTCCCAGCACTTCACAAGCCAGTACACCCTTCTGCTGGGCTGCACCAGTCCCCGCATCTCCTGACGCTGCACAGGCTGGTGCGACCTCGTGCCAGGGTGTGCAGGTCCCCATGGTTGTGCACCACAATATTGCTTTCTCTGGAGGATTCTGAGGCGCAGAAGGCCTCTTCAACACTGAGGGGACCAGCCTCCCTTCAAACAAATATTGAGGGGGCCAAAGACACCTTGGACCTCTAGAGTTGGCACACCTGTGAGATAAAAACTTCTGTCAGTTTGCATGTCTTATTGCAGAAAGTATTGATCTGATGTATAGAGATCTTTATTCCAATTAATTCAAGAGGGTTTTGGAAGCTTCTCTGTGTGAAAGAAACAAGCAAAAACTGGCTTAAACTTCTTCTCTTATCTCTTTCAGTCAAGGGCATGCTGATTTTAAAAGTAAGGCCAGAAGGAACCAGGGTTTCACTTTTCCTGTCTATCTCTCTTCCTTCTGGTGTAGTGTTCTTATACTGTACAGTGGTACCTCCGGTTATGAACGGGATTCATTCTGGAGGCCTGGTCGTATTCCGAAATCTTCGTAACAGGAGGTGCCTGTTCTGCGCATGCACGCCGCGCCGTAGAGCACTTCTGTGCATGCGCAAGGTGCACAGAGCACTTCTGTGTGTGTGCAAGTGGCAAACCCACTTCTGGGTCTGTCGTGTCTGCAACCCGAAAGTTACGTTACCTGAAGGTAACATAACCCAAGGGCCCACTGTATAGTGTTAAGGTTTAGACTTATTGTAAGTTATTGTAAATTTAAGTCTGCTGCAACTGGATTTCTTATGGACAGTGCCAATCCTGAATGTATTGGATTTGTGACCATTATGCTCAATTGTCTTCTGTAGCAGTAAAACTCTGCTGGATGAAATATTAATTGCCTCTGGT